CTTATGTTTTCTGGTTATCTTTTGATACCCATAAATAACTCTGTCCATGTGAGAGCTTAGAAAAGCAGCATGCCAAGTACCTGATTAGCAGGACAAAGTCAGGATTATCAGTGTCGAGGGGAAACGCCCTTCACCCTCTCTGAAGGTTCTCTGGAATGAACTGACAATGGACAAATGAAATAGCAAGGGGTCTGGCACTGTGGCGCAGCAGGTTAAAGCCCCAGCCTGTGGCACAGGCATTCTCTTATGGGCACCGGTTCGAGTCCTGGCTGCTCCACTTTTGATCCAGCTCTCTGCTGTGGCCTGGGAGGGTGGTAAAGGGTTCCCAGGTCCTTGGGCCCCTGCACTCATGTGGGAGACCTGGAGGAAGCTCCAGGATCCTGGCTTTGGATTGTCCCAGCTCCAGCCATTGTGACCATTTGGGGAGTGAACCAGCAGATGGAAGACTCTTCCTCTCTCTCTCTCTCTCTCTCTCTCTCTCTGCCTCTCTGTAACTCTGCCTTTGAAATAAAATAAATCTTTAAAAAAATTGATACAGGAAATGTTACATTTTAATACAGTTTATCTGAAGTAATATAATAGTAGTTTAGTATTAGTGAATTAAAAAAATAGAGAATTAACTGTCCTACATTCAGTGAGAAAGATATGTTGAATAAGCAAAATGTCCTTAGATATCAGCATTATAAGTAAATAATGTCTTCTATATTTTGTTTATTAATAAATTTCATGTATTTACTAATAATCTATATAGAAATCTATTTATGACTACATTGTGGTAATATCCTTGTAATTTCTGCTCTTTTTACTTATACAATTAAATATATTTCCTACTAACTATGCACCCAAGTAATTTCAACACTTCCTATCAAGATTATGAATGGATGAATGGATGGTGGATAGGGCACTCTCATCTCATTTCAGAGTCCCTAGGTTCAGGTGTTGGCTTTATAGCTCAGGTCAGGTCTGTGTCTCTGCCTCCCAGATGGGAAATCAGGATTGAGTTCCTCTCTCCTGGCTTTGGTCTGGCCCAGTCTGGACTGTTGCAGGACCTTAAGGGAACCAACATGAGATGAAGATGAGATGGAAAATCTCTATCTCTGTCTAATGCTTTTCAAAGAAATAAGACATGAATAAATAAAAAATTTAAAAAGCCAATATAATTCTAGATAGTTTCCTTGTGTCTAATTTAATTTAGATTTATTATTTAGGTTGTAAAATTGATGGAAACCATAGATGGAATATAATCTGCATGAAGGCTTGTTGCTGTGGATTCGTTCTGAGAGGAGGAGCGTGGTGGGGGCAAGAGGTGCAGAGTCACCACACAGACCCTGGGAGCTGGATGAAAGCGAGCCAGAGGTGAGCAGCCCACAGACTCATTTATTTCAGTTGCTACAGCAGCTTATATAGCCAAGGCAGCCAATCCATTCAAGGGGCAGTCTATGCCCTAACCAATCACACCCTGTTGCCAGGCAGTTTCCAAAGCCATCCAATCACAGCCTGTTGCCAGTCAGGCTCTGTTGCCAGGCAGTTTCTGAAACCATCCAATCACAGCCTATTGCCAGGCAGGCTCTGCTGTCATGTGGTTTCTAAAGCCATCCAATCATGACCTGTTGTCAGTCAGGCTCCGTTGCCATGTGGTTTCTGAAGCCATCCAATCACAACCTGTTGTAAGCCATGCTCTGTTGTCATGTGGTTTCCAAAGCCATCCAACCACGGCCTGTTGCCAGGCAGTTTCTGTTGCCAGCGGCCATCTTGGCATGGCCTTCTCATTCCACCACATTTCACCCTTTTCGTTTATTTCTGAGCAATGGGAGGCATGATTCTTGGCCATACCATTGTTGACCCCATTTCCATGTCATCTCTGTATGTGGCTGTGCCTGTCTTAGGTTGTCCCCCAGGGGATCTTACCCATCATTGACTAACCAGCACTCAAAACAGGAGACCGCAGGAGTGCTGCTCAGATGGGGATGAAGAGCCAAAGTGACACCATTTTAAAACAATAAAAAAAGCAGCCTCCATTTCCCATAGCAGACCCAAGCCCTTGTAAAAACAGGCATTCAGGCATTCTGGAGATATCAAAGCTTGCCAGGGACAGCTAGCTCGGTAGACCAAGGTCAGCACAGTAGAGATTGCTAAACAAAGTATCTCCCTGTACCCAAAGCTTCTGTGCTGTATGTAACTTTTTTTCCTGCTGATGTAGCCCTTTTTTCCTTTAAAAATTCTCCCAAACAAACACCAGGGCCTCCCTCCTTCCTCCGCTGCACTGATTGGTTGGATGGGGTCCCTATCGTGGCTTGTACTCCCGAATAAACCTTGCTTTTGCAGTTCGGTGTGATCAACTCTCTGGGGGTCTCTGCGGGGATCTAATGATCTGGGCACAACAGGGGTAGGAATGAGGAACAGTTGTAATCAGGAATGGCATGACCACACACAGGCTGTGGGCCATTCGAGTGGCTGACCAGAGCTAGTGGGGTATAAAAGAGTAATGGATGTGGCTATGGGCAGTTTCTTAGGGTAGGATGATAGAGCAGGTGCTGCTAACAAGGCAAACTCTCAGTCTTGTTCAGCTGGTTCTGGTTGGCTATCAGTTGCAGGCTTAATGCTTCTGGCTGGTACCCAAATGGGCTGTCCTACATTCTCTGGAAAGACACAAGCATAACCTCCACCCTTGGTTAGCCCAATCCTTTTTACAGGCGTTGGAATCCAAGACCTGAATTTTGCGTCCACTTCAAGATTAAAGGCAAACATGCTGCCCTGAGAGCCTGGGGTGCCTGGGGACTGCCACAAATGTGGGGATCCTCACTGGGTACAGATGGGATGACCTCGCATGGGTTATCCCCTCGAGGTCATCTAAGTTCATCCGACAGATATTTGGGGGGTGGCTGACTAGGCATTGCTACCTTGTTTGCTACCTTGTTTGCTACATTGTTTTTTTCACTGTCCAGAGCTCTCTCTCCCTAAGTCATCAACTGTTGCTGGTGAGGCAGAGACCTGGAGTGTCAGGCTCTTATCACTCACAGATTCACTATGTTTGGTAATGTGTATGAGCTTTTGAGAGGGGGGTATCTTTCCCATGCTTGAGTGTTTGAGAGCGGCATGCCACACCAACTCTAGACAAAGGAAAGACACACACAGCACTGCTGCCATAACAAAACAAATTTCTAGCACCTCAGAGGCTGACGACATTATGCAGGGGTTCCCTACCTTAGACAAACAGACAGTGGTGTATCAGATCGTACGTATGTCCTGTGCTTAGTGGGGGACTTCCTTGATTCCTTAGGTCAAGGCCGTATGCCCACATGGTGTCTCCGGAGCGTCACCTCTCTCGAGTGAGGGAAGATGACTTGGTTCCGAATTCTGGGAAGATCAGTCCCTTATGTGAATTTGCCAGGCAAACCTAAAGTAAAAGCAGGAGCCGAGAAGC